TTGCACCACTTGATATATTTTTAGAAGGATACACTACATAAATTTAGTGCCAACACCATTACTTATAAATAAAAATGATAATATTTTTTTTGCCTAACCATCTGATAAATACATGTTGTCACTTAAAATATTATTTTTATAACAGTTTACGTTAGAAGCATTTTCTTATGATTGTCTTTATTAGTAATAAACGTGTTAGTGGTGAATTTACTTGCGGAAAAAAAATTGTTTTGGAATTAAGTCAATCTCTCGTAGATTTTAATGAGATTGCCCTTATTATAATTATGAATTTATTTAATTAGTTAGTACGTAGTAGATAACTATAGTACCTAAAATACTACTTTAGAAAATGATGTGGGACAATTTGATATCAATTTCATTGACTTGTGGATATAAATATTGCATGGTTGCCCACGTCTACTTGTTTTAATTACTGAAACTTACAGAAAGATAATTAATTCCAATGATTTGTTTGCACATCTAATATAATTTTACAACCTGCCATATTTTTTTGGGTAAGTTACAAACGTGTCAAAACACGTGGTTGTAACTACTAATCTTACCACTTGATATTTTTCAAGAAGGATATTGTTGTCATAAATGTAAAGATATATAAACGCATCTCTCACCCAGTAGTATATTACTATTTTTTCATCTAATTTAAGTGTTTTAAGCTTTTTGTCCTAATCATCATTACAATTTACCATATAATCAAAAGTCAAATTATATATGTTTACTTAATTTTTTGGTGATGTAATTTTTATTTTTCCATTAAATCCTATTTTTAATATCAAATACGTATATATATATATAGAGGTGTAAATATAGGTTTTGACGTATTTAGCATATGAAATGATTATTTTAACTAATTGCATGTGATTTCCGACTTATTAGGATATTTATTGTAAATACATTAGACTTAATTAATAAATAATGCTAAAAAAAATAAATCCATATTGTTATTGTTGTTGTTGTTGGATAATTTTTCGTTAGTGTCTAATTTTTGACGTACCCAAATCATATTTTATATTCCAATTCATGAGTATTGCCTTTTTCTTAACCGATCACTATTACATTTACAAAAATTGTAGGGTCAATTTTTGTAGATACAATAACAAGAAAAACGAAAACAATTACATCATGTGAATTATATATTTTTCATAAAATTTGAAAATTGATGTCCGACAAGTTTGAGTAAATATACGACTGAGAAACAAATAATAATAAATAAATAAATAAATAAATAAATAAATAAAAAAAAAAAAAGTGATTTTGTAGCCAATGTTAATTTTGTAAGTTCATTTTTTTTTCTTACGTCATTTATTTATTTGTAATTTTTCTACCCTACCCCCAATGGAAAATGGATAGAAGGGGTGTATATGCCAAAAGGTTAATCACTTGGGGTGTACTTAAGATATAAGTAGTCTAAGGTGGTGTTTGCAAATGCTTTTTGAAAGTGATTATACAGTTTTTTTCCTCATAATTTGTTTTCAGGTGTTTGCAAAATCAATTTTCGCTTTTGTTTCTCTTAAAATAATCTGCTTTAATCTATTTTTTTAAAAGCACCCATAACCCTGCTTTTTCTATTTAAGTTCATTTTCTGGAATATTTGCAAACACCCCCAACTTTTGAAAATAAGCACTTAAAACTAACTTAAATCACAATCACTAACTTCTGCTTTTAAATAATCATTTGCAAACACCACCTAAATATATGCTCTTAATTTAACTAATATAAAATATTTTTAAATAAAATTAGTAACATCAAAATTATTAACATCAATTGTATCATGATTAATGAAAGTAATTCAAAATATTTTTGGCATACTTAAAGATATAATTAATTTCAATTAATTGTAGTTAGTTAGCATATTGTGTTCGCTTTTTTATATAAAATAAATAAATTATTAAAATAAAATTTTATTTATTATTATTTATTAATAATATTTTGGTATGGCCTGGTAATACCACTTTAATAATATTGAGTATCGTTGTTTTACCAAAATATCTGGATACTCGTACAATATGATAGGTAATCATTGGGTGCAAATATTTCTGTAGATAATCAATATAGTTCAATAAAGCGACAGATTAGTAGGGAATTTGAAACAAAACCGACCCTAATTATATAGGGCCACAAATATTAATTGGTAAATATCAATATCTGATTATTGTACAACTACATATCAATCAATCCGAGAAAAATAATCAATATTAATCAGAAAGTGTTATGAAACAAACGTTTTATGATTAGCGATTTAGTTCTCTAAATTGTTTAATTTATTTCCATTTTACATGTATTAACTATACAAAATTAGCATTTTTGTCATATTTCACTCGAACATTCGATTTTTATATGTTATTTTCTGATGTAGCTAACAAACTCGTCAAAATTAGTTTATATAGACACCTGAAATTTATAGATGCTCCTTCCTCTAACTTGATTTTGTAAATTCATACTCTCATCTTACATAAAGAAAATTCTATCAAGACGAAGTTAGATATGAAATTTATAATTTTTCAGCGTCTATAGATAAGTAGGACTTATATCAAGTTTATTTGCCGTATCATAAAATAAAATATTCACTCAGACAAGGATAAAAAATAAAATAAAAAAGTTACATTTGATTATTGCATATTTGATTATTGCATGAAAAACTGAAACATGAAAATTGAAAGAAGTATAACCGTACCATTTAGTAGACTACATTATTGAAACTGGGTAGATTACAGGTAACCTGAGTTACCTGACCATGATTTGTATAAGATAACAATTTGTAATTAAAAAACAGGTAACGTGAGTACGTGCCCATGATTGTATAAGGCATCAATTTGTAATAAATAAAAATGTTTTCTATAGTATATAAAAAGGGCAGAGATGTGATTCATTTTCTTGCATCAGGCAAAACCATTTCTTCATATCTCTCTTGATTTAAATTACATAGAAAAAATAATTAGAGATATGGGTTTGACTGGGAAGTTGGTTTCGGAAACGAACATAAAATCGGACGGAGATGTGTTTCACGAGATCTTCAGACACAGACCACACCACATTTCAGACATGAGCCCTGATCACATCCAAGGCGTTGATTTACACGACGGAAAATGGGGAACCGTCGGATCACAGATCTTCTGGAACTACACCCATGGTAACACCCTACACTCCCACTTTATATTCATAACTAGATAAAATGCCACCCTTTTTTTTTAAGGAGAAATACGAGGGTCAAAAGAAGAAAAAATATTTTTTTCGTGGAAGAAGAATTAATCCAAATCTTATTTTGACATCAATTTTATTTTATTTTATTTTTAATGTACTTATTTATTTTTTATTATTGTTGTATATGTCACTATTGACTATAAGATATAGATTCCGCGCGCTCGATTTACTTACATTTGACTTATTAGTTATTACTTATTAGTGATTCAAACTAATTGTTGAAGATTTAAATTTGATGATGTATTTAATCAGAAATAGTCTGCATAAACTATTGTAGACTAGTCAAAAAAAAATATATATATATATATATCTAATATATTAATGGGTCTAAATTAAGATTTGTTGACCATACATAAATGTGATTAATTAACTACCCATTAAGTATACATACACGTGGATGCATGTTTGATTATGTACAAATCTACGGTTAATAATCACTAATTGTTGCATTAATTACCTATTGAAGGGATGGATGAGGAACATATATATATATTTTGTTCAAACCCGCGAGCTTAGTAAATTAAATGATAAACTTGGTTAATGAACTCATTAGTTAATTAATTAATTCCTTAATTCCATAATTCAGAGGGTAAGAAGAAGGTGGCGAAAAATATAATTGAAGCCATAGACGAGGAAAAGAAGTCGGTGACATTCAAGGTGACCGAAGGAGATCTAATGGAGCTTTACAAGGAATTCAAACTGGTCGTTCATGTCGACACATCTGGCGAAGACAACGTCGTCACTTGGACTTTGGAGTACGAGAAACTGAGTGAGGATGTTTCTGATCCACACACTCTCATGGACTTGTGCGTGAGCATGACTAAAGATATCGAGTCTCACCATCTCTAGGCCGTTGCCTAGTTTCATGATCTTTCTCCGTATGTCGTAAACGGGTTTTTCGATTATAATGTTATTGTTATGTGGTGTTGGTCTTGTGCTTTAAAGGTTGTGTTATGAATAAAAGGGTGTTGGTGCCATTGTTATTTAATGTACTTGTGAAAGGTTAAATGTAGGTGTCTTGGCATTTTGCCAAGGTTTATCTACTTGTGATGTGAATAAACCAGATATTCATTATTTGGGGTTTCCTTTTTCTTGTTTCGGACGAATTAATAGATTATCCACACACGAGTGCACGTTTTTATAATAATTAATCTTATTTGTCTTATATTATTTTCGTTTTTGGGTGTTTT